GGGTTAAGGGTTTAGGGTTTAGGTGGAGTGAAAGGCTACCTGGACCCAAAAGCATGCGGAATTATAGCCTTCTGTAGATGTTCAGCCATTACTCTACCTACTGTGGTGGGGTTTAGGTAGGGGTTAGCGGTTTAGAGCTGAGGGTTTATTACTTAAAGTTTAAGTGGTTTTCGGTTCGGGGCGAGCGGTTTTACGGAAAACGCCAGTAGCCCATCATCACCAATGCAAGCACTGCAAGCTTCTTGTCAACTGCCACAAACTTGCGCGCATATTCTCCCTCCTTTCTCTCTGCCGAATCAGTGAAGCCCCTCAAAACGGAAGAAAAGGCTATAACGAAAGGTTGCTGATCGCATGTGGGAATTCAGGCGTGTAGTGTTCTGCCGGAAAGCCTAAGAAACAGTGAGCCCCGAATCAGCGTTGCAGAATCTCAGGTGTTTGAAAATTCGTCTGTTGATGGTCGGCCTGTTGAACATTAAGATCGTAAGTGCAAGCGTACTTGTTGCTAAACCGGGAAGTGACAAACACCACGATTCATGTTGCACCGCCCTCTGCATGCTTCCTGTCTCGAAATGACTAAGATCAGAAGACGATATGCTAGCTGTCACCCCGAAACAACGAATGGCCTACCTCTGCCGGCGCATTGACTACTGATCTGTCAATGCTTGATTCCTCACAGGCTTGCAAAAAGTTAAAGTTTAGGGGCAGCATCCACTGCTTCAGCCGTCCACTTTGCGGACAAGTGCAGTGGTCAGCTGCAAAGCCCTCTGTCCCGTAGCTGCATATGTGCCATCATCGTCCCCCCTGAACTCTAATTTGTTCATGTCTGGCGCTTTATGGTTCTGGACGTATAATATAGGGGCCTTAATAATNNAATTAGAACAGGGTTTTGGGGGTACATTCTACTACTATAGTTATAGTACAAACTGTATAGGCAATTGTTTAGGCCCCTATATTCAGCCTCTCCTCCACCTCGCACATCTTTGCAGCAAGACGACAGCAAAGGGCCAATGGATGGCTGATCTTTGAACCTCTAAAATCACTGGGCGAGATCCCCGAGTTGGTCGCTTGCAGTAGTGAACTGTTGTTTGAGAATGGGTCCTACTACCTGTCTTAAGACGGTTTAAACACCACGACTTCAGTGCACAATGAGATTCTGCAACGTGTGGCTGAGGCGGCATAGGAGGGAGCAGCAGTAGTGTTGGTGGTGATAGCAGCACAAACACAAACATAAGCAGCAGTCTCGGTACTGAGGAATCGCACTCGTCACGACTACTAATGATTACTATCGCTACTGCTACTGTTACTCCAACTGCTACTTTTCCAACCAGCGCTACGCCTACTACATTTATGCGACAACAACGACAACCGCTACCCCGACTACAACGACTGCTCAGACTACTACGATCGAAACGACGACTACCACTACCACCATTAGCACCACCACCACCACCACCACCACCACCACCAGCACCACCACTACCAGAACCTCCACTACCACCACTACCACCACAACCACAGCTACGACTACCACTCCTACCACTACTACCACCGCTACCACCACTACCACTACTACCACTACTGCCACTACTACCACTACTACCAGTACTGCCACTACTGCCACTCCTGCCACTACTGTACGTCTTCGCCGATCACGACGACGACGACGACGACTGCAACTACTACTTCTTCTACTAGTACTACTACTTCTACTACCACTCTCTCTACTCCTGCTGCTACTGCTTCTACTGTTTCTACTGAAACGACCACGGCAACGACTGCGACTATGAGTACGACTTTGACACTCGTACTCGTGCTCGTAATCCTACTCCCACCACTCCAACTTAGGCTACCACTTCGACGACGACGACGACGTCGACCATAAACTACTGCTGCTGCTGCTGCTACTACTACTACTACCACCACTCCTACTTGGGAATCGTGAGCTGGCATGCGATTTCGCGTGCTATCTGCCCAGAAAAAGGAAATCAAGGCTAATCGCAGTTCCAGGCGCAGCGTTGAAAGGTAAGCTCCGACACGCAACTGTAGCAACTGCTAAAATAGAAGCCTAAATAATTACCAATACTATTCCTCAGGGTTCTTGTGTTATACTGATACTATAAAGGAACCCAGAGCCCTATTCTAATTATTAAGGCCCCTGCACTACCCTGAACCCTGAGGCATAGACTTTCCAAGTGCCCTACGCCAGGTTGGTGATTGCACTTAAGGGCCGCTGCAGTAAGGCGTGTCCCTTCCGAAGCACTCGTGCTGTGTCGCAGTCAAAGTTGCGAATCTGGAAGACCTGCTTATTACAATCCCGCTGTTTCCCTAAACCCCAAACCCTACGAGTTGGGCCTGGAATGTCGGTCCTGTTGGGTAGCCTTTAACGCTGCAGCCGAACTCATCTGAAGCTGCCCGGAGATTCCGAGATCCCCTTGTAAGCCAGACCTCCACATGTTCCTTCAAGGCGTTCAATAATAGGGTTATATAAGAGCCATATCAACATGGCTTTGTCGAGATTAATAATCGAACTGTTATTAATAATCATGTCTTCTTACTGATTCTTACTGTGCAGTACTTGTTCTATAGATCCATGCAGCAGGATGCTTTTGATAAGGGCATCAGAAACTCCACTTCTACACACCTCTCAAGCCCAAACCCCGTCAATGCCTCCCACGCCTTGTGTACGTCTTACTTCCTGAAGTACCTCAGGTCTTCTAACGGGCCAATCTTCTTTGCAAGCCTAAACCAAAACCAGTAAGCCCCAAGGCCCTATAATATGAGCCCTAACTCCATGCTGACAAAACCCGAACCCTAAACCCCTAAACCCCAGACCCCTTCAACCCCTAAACTCCTAAATCCCAGACCCCTTCAACCCCAAACCCCTACAGACCCCTTAAACCCCAGACCCCTGAGACCCTAAACTCCTAAATCCCAGACCCCTCACACCCCCAA